CAGTTTACGATTAATGTGTGGGCTTGAATTGTAGATGACTATCTGGTAGGTCCATATTGTCTCCCAGAACGTGTTACAGGAGCTGTCTACAATGATTTTATTTCGAACACACTTACAGACCTGTTAGAGGATGTACCCCTGCTAATATGAAGATGCATGTGGTTCATGCATGATGTGGCTCCAGCACATTTTAGTCACATTGTTCGCGATACACTGGCTGACATCTATCATAAAAGATGATGGATAAGTAGGAGATGACCGGTTCGATGGCCTGCACGTTCCTCCGACCTCAATCCTTTGGATTTTTATCTGTGAACGTGTCATGGGGGACTGCGAAACCATTCGACACCGTGTGAAACCATTTGAAAGGGTCCACTAGTCAATGATCCGACGGGTGTATGCGTGTGGAGAAACAAGCTGAGGACATTTTGAACATGATTTGCTGTGTTGAGATACAACGATGGTCTTTTAGACATATGTTTATATGAACATTTTGCCTTGTTTTGGTGTCAGAACCCACCCCTAAAGTTTGTAAAAGTATTTTTGAATATATATATATATATATATATATATATATATATATATATATATATATATATATATATTCCGCCAGAAATAAAGACACAAAGATAGGAATTGAATTAAACAAATATATTAACAGAAATAGTAATACAAGCATATACAAACGAGAGTGTTACAGCAAGAATGTTCGGTTCGACTGTCAGAGCTGACTGTTGGAAACTTCCCTCTCTAAAAGGCAGTAGATGCTCCTATTTATAGCTTTTAGAGTCCATGCGTGCGTGGATAAATTACCATAATATATATATATATATATATATATATATATATATATATATATATATTATTTATGTGCCAAACGTAGGCGATCACGGATCTCCACAACGTCCTCTCCTTTGTAGGTCTTAATAAATTTTGTTTTTCTGTTATTTCTCCTAAACCCTGTTCCATCACTCAAGCTCATTAAGTAGGATATGTGTTGTTTTCCTCTGTCTCTTTTTCCTTCAATCTACCCAGTGAGGTATCAGATGTCCGTGCGCTTTCGGCTATTCTTTTAGCCATTATCAAGAATTTTTTTTTAATTTTTAACTGGATGTTTAGATTTTTATGTATGTACCTAAAGTTGCGGGAATGTTTTCGCTTGTTTACCAAACACGGTCAACAAACTGTGACCGTGTTCGTATTTGATAATATTGAGTTTTGGCTTTTTCTTTTTTCTTCTCAATGTTTCCATTATTTGTAGTCATTTTTCTTACATGTGGATGAAGCTATTATAGGTGTATTTTCTACGTGTATGTTGTGGATGGAGTTTGGTAGGTTTCCATGTCTGTTTAAATAGGTCTTATATGAGCTGTGGTCAGAGAGATGTAACATGAGTCTTCTTGATAAGCATGTAGTGATATGTCCAATATAATTATTCATGAATCTGGTTTGATTAGAAACACAGTTCCTTAAGAGACATGTGAATTCATAAATAATATTAGTTCTCTGTAATTTGGATCATTTTTGCACACTATCTCCAGAAAAAAAACTTATACGAACACAAGAAAAATTAAATAAAAAGCTTAAACGCAGTACCTTGTTAGTTGTTAAAAATTCGCTAGAAACAAGGAAAAGAGTACTAAATTGTTACGTGATATATTGTCCTTCATTATGACAAACAATATCATCAAAATGGAGAGACTTGAAGTAACAGAAATGTGTTTCTACAGAAGGATGCTGAGGGTACTATGAACCGAACATGTGAGCAAAAAGACGGTTTTAGAGAAAATGGAAACAAAAATTATAATTAACATCAGAAAGAGACAGATGAAATTTCTAGGGCACATATATATATATATATATATATATATATATATATATATATATATATATATATATATATCCAAGTATAGGATTGGTGCATATGGAATAAATTCCAATAACCAAAAAATACTATACTTAAAAAGAGTGCTCAATACAGAGTAGAGCAAATATAATTTATTCCATTAATTATAACATAAATATGCTAAAAAATCACTATAATATAGCTATTTTTGTTTAACACTTCTGGTGTCTTATCAAGTGATGGTGTTGAATGTAGAACCTGATAAGACACCAGAAGTGTTGAAACAAAACGGCTATTTTGTAGTGATTTTATAATATATTTATGTTATAATTTTCGAATAAATTACATATATATATGTGTGTGTGTGTGTGTGTGTGTGTGTGTGTGTGTGTGTGTGTGTGTGTCTGTGTGTCTGTGTGTGTGTGTTAATTTATTCGAAAATTATAACATAAATATATATAAATCCATATGAGAATACATTCGGCATATTTTTTGCTTATGAGAAAACATTTGACATTCATTGACCGAGCAACCAGTACTACTGTCGGTTTAAAATTTACAAGATTTTTCTATTAAAACAATGGTTCATGCTTGAACACAATCTGAAGAAACATAATGCCGCCGTTCGGGTTGGCCTCAGTGTCCACCCTTATATTTACACACGCTCTATCACTGATATTGAGCATTTTTACCCATCAATATAGCATAGTTTAAAACTATATTTTTTATTATATATATATATATATATATATATATATATATACAGGGGTAGCAAAAGTATTTAACACATTGGTTTTTTCTTGCATATCTCAAAAAAATAACAGATCAATTTCAACGAAACATATAGGAAATATTTAAACGAACATTGTCGATCAAAACATAGAAGGAAAATTTAAAATTATATAAATAAAATAACCCATATGCAAAAGTATTTAACACCAATGCAAATATTATGCTAGAAGAGACGTGTCGTCATGATTCCTAACCATATTGATATGATGTCATATGTCGTTTATATATTTCCTATAAGTTTCGTTGAAATTGATCTGTTATTTTTGTGATATGTAAGAAAAACCAATGTTAAATACTTTGCTACCCACTGTATATATATATATATATATATATATATATATATATATATATATTTCATCTTACCCTGATATGAGGATTTATAGCTGTGAAACTCAGAGTTAAATTATGTTATTGAAGTATATATATATAAATATATATGTGTGTGTGTGTGTGTGTGTGCGTGCGTATTGTGTATTTAAAAACATTAATAATAAAAATATATAAATTAACTTACCTCCATTACATATTCTTAACGTTATATATATATATATATATATATATATATATATATATATATATATATATATATATACGATTTGTATTGAGCGTTAATTTTATTTCTTTATTATTTGTTTTCATACCGTTAAGAACTGTTAAAATTGATCTCTTTTTCTTCTTCCTTTTTTTTCCAGACTTACCTTTTCTTTTTTCTCATTTCTTTTCTTTTTATTCGCTTTCCTCTAAAGTTTCATTTGAGTGCTTGCTGCGTAATATAAACCAACAAAAATCTTTTCGGGTAAACAGCCATTTTCACAAATCCTGTTTGACATATGAATTCAATCGTAAAATGCAAAGCCAATATAGCCAATTCGTCGTATCAAAAGAATTACAAATTGAATATGACTATTTTTCCAGATAACGTTTGCTTAATATATGTGGTCTTTAACTAATTTTACTTTGAGTACCCATTTTGTAGCTTTAAAAATGAAGAATGTTTTATAGACAACAGAAAATAACCATAAAACAACTACATACTATACAGTGGGCTATGATAAATTTTTAACCAACCTTAATTACAGCAATGTTTGCTTGTCTTCTAGCATATCTTCTTTTTTTCCCAGACAATACCGTGTTAGTATCAAGTACTCTAATCTATGAACAATAGTTCACTTATATTTTGCAATGAAAGTTAGCGGAAGTAAGGAAATTGGTGAATTTCAACGAGGGCAAATAATAGGATGGCATTAGTGTGGCAAGTCAAATAGAGAAATTGCTAGGTTTTGCCAGGTTAATCATCAAACGGTTAATAATATTGTCAAGAAATTTAATGAAGAAGGCCATTGTTGTGTGGAACAATGTTCAGGAAAACTAAGCGTTGTATCTGAGTGAACAAAAAGGGCGCTGAAGAGGGAAGTCATTAGAAACCATCGTCAGAGCGTCAACGATGTCGCCAACAGCATGGAAATGACGCCATATACGATGAGAAAGACACTGAAAGAACTTGGCTATCAAAGAAGATTTGCAAGAAAGAAGCTCTTGATTTCAGAGGTTAACAGGAGCAGGCGGGTGGACTGGGCGAAAGAATTCGAGAGCAAAGATTATAAATTTTGGCAGTCTGTAATTTGGTCAGATGAAAGTAAATTCCGCCATTATTCGAATTCGAGACAGGTTTATGTTTGGAGAAATCAGAATGAGAACACTGAATGTCTGCAGGCGACCGTGAAACAATGGTGTGGGGCGCTGTCTGGTCTGGAGGGAAATCTGAGCTGATTCCTGTTGAGAAGTGGTTGAATGGTCCAAAATACAGTCAAAAGAAAGGAATACTCCAATTATTTGAAACCAATCAGATTGACAAGAATGTCTACCTTTATCAAGAAGATGGAGCGCCATGTCATACGAGTAAAGTAACAAAGGCCTGGAATGAATCACAAGGAATCAAGTCACTGCTATGAGTAGCCCAAAGTCCTGACATGAATCCAATAGAGCACGTTTGGGGGCACCTTCATCGAAAATCACGTCATTGGCAGCCATTAAAGAAACATTGCTAAAGGAGTGACAAAATATGGATCAGACGATTGTTGATAACTTGATCAAATCCATGAAATATCGAATAAAAGCATTGAAACTAGGAAATGGAGGACCTACTCTATACTAGTTTCAAATACTGTTTATTTATGTTGAGTAGGGATTTCGTAATTAAATTTTGAAATTGGATGTAATTTATTTCTCTTGGCTAAAAACTTTTCTTGGGCAACTGTAAGCCGAAAACGCTTTTTAAAAATCAGCTTATTAGAGTTCAAAATAAAAACTATGCACATTAAACAATATTATTTGCTACAAGTGATGTTCTTTGAGTGGAAGCTGACGGACATATCACGTGGAAACACTGCTTCCCGTACAATCACAAAAGTTAAGCAACGTCGATTCTGGTCAGTACCTAAATGGTTGACCACTTGGGAATACCAGGTCCTGTAAGCTTGGATGTGTGAGTGGTGTAATGGATAATGGCTCGGAATTGGAAATTGGAGAGTCGAGTTCCATTTCCACTCGTGTTCGTCATATTAATTCACGGGCAAATACTCTTGGGAAAGGCATGAATCCACTTCTTCTTCCCAGTTATAGGTTAATTAGAAGGACTGTAAATCATTATTATCTCCCAAGTATTATTATACTCTAAAATTATTTTCTGGCTTTAAATAACCTTCTGGTAAGCAGTAAAAAAAATCAGTCAATCTTTGACTGAAAATGATTTTCAGGATCTCCCCGTATTCTTACTGACTTCAACCGTGAGATTTCAATTGACTCAATTGTTCACCAGTTTTTACAAAGCTCACTGACATTTCCTAGTGCTCGAATGAATATAGTCATGACTGTTATTTTCATATACATATTCCATATATTTATTTCAAGACTCAGGGTTTACTGAAGTGAATGCTGTTTGGTTATACAATCAAGTTTATTGGTAAGGCTTTTTGATGAGCGTCTGTAGTAATTTTGTTGAAACCTATTTTCTTCTGGAAATACTAAACTGTAGTCAAATTATTTCAGATGAAAAACAATTTCGACACAGGAAAGTGGAAATGTCTACTAAAATATAGAAAAAGTGAGGATCGAGTAGAAAGGTGACACCTTTGAAAATCCTTAAAACATTAATCTATGGTACAATATGATCTGCCGAAAAGTCAAGTATATTCAAGGTCTGGACATCGCAAAATACACCTTCTACTTAACACGGACATTTTATTGTAAAAAAAAATATTGCGCGTGTCCGTTCACCCTGTACAAGGCCCAAGAGCCACTCGGGGTAGAGGTTTACAGAGTAAGAGGTTAGGGGTACAGTTTATGAGGATATATGTGGAATTTAACGGTTAACTCTAGACTTGAAGGGGTTAAGATTGTAGTCATCAGTCATCAAGCATCCTCTTGGGAGTTGGTTCCACAAATCAACGGTTCGTGCGAAGAAGCTGTTCGAGTGAAATTTACATTTTACCAATGGAATACGAAGGGAATGAAAGTGATTCGCTACAATGTACGTGGCAAAGTCCGACAATTATTTTAAGAACGTATAAACTTAAAAAAATGTCTTAAAATAATTGTCGGACTTTGTCCATTTCATAATGTGTGACGTCATTTGTTTACATTTGGATACGCATCGAGCAGATATGAATGTACGAGAGAAAATCATGGAGAATTGTAGTTTAAAAACAGTAAAATCGACCTTGGTAACCGAAAGGCTCCTCTGTGTCTCAATCGGTAAAAGCACGTCAGGCTATATGACGTTTTCCGTATAAGAAACAGGTTCGATTCCTATCGGAGGACGTATGTTTTCTATGAAAAATTTTCAGGCCGGTAAATGTCGTTAATACTGTTTATTATAAGCAGACCATTTACTCAAATATTTGTATCTATAAAAAGAACGTATAAACATAAAAATGTCTTTATATATATATATATATATATGTGTGTGTGTGTGTGTGTGTGTGTGTGTGTGTGTGTGTGTGTGTGTGTGTGTGTGTGTGTGTGTGTGTGTTGGATCATGGTATATTAAACCGTTGAGAAGCGACATCAGAACGAGGTAACTCTTCCGCCAGACTTCAGAAAAACAAAAGAACGACATAACACTATCATTATAAGAGTCAGATCAGACCAAGAATGGACTATTGCTGCCATATGTGGACTGTCACTTCCAAATCCTCATTGTCCAGCCTCGACCTTGTGGGTGATGAATTATTTTCCACCTTGCAATCCTTATTCCACAGACGAAAAATCGCCGGCCATTCACTACTATATCACTATTAGTATGGCAGATGTTCGGGCAATTTAAATTGCTTAGTGCCAACAGCTCGGGCCTTCACAGCCAGGAGCTACCATACTCTGTTCACGGTGACAAACCATCCCTTTCCCCGGCTTCTTCTCCAGAATTGTTACTTTGTGAAACAAACTCCCGAGAGAATGCTTTCCTGACAGCTACAATATTTTTTTTTTAAATCAAAGGTCAACCGATATTTATCCTACACGTCCTCATAATACTCTCCTACTTCCACTTCCCCACTACCTTACAATCCCACTCAGTAACCTTCTACCTTTAGTGGCTCTTGAGCCATTTTTGGGAGAAATATCCGTAAAAAAAACTTTATATGTCTACTTTGAGCGCCTTAATTGATCCAATCGCGAATTTCTCTATGCAAATATAGACTTTCTGTTTTTTTACTGTGGTTTTTGACAGCACCGTGCGTGTGTGGGTGCGTGCATGTGCACGTGTGTGCGCTGTAGATGCATTAAGGTGATAATTGGCGATATCTTTACATTATGCTGATCCTAAAAAGGAGAAGAATATATGAAAAAAAAAACAAACATGACAGCTGAGATTGGTGCGTAGTTGGAATCAAGATGCTAAATAAGCAACAAGAAGAAATAACCAATTGTCACCAAAACAAACACCGTCTCCAGCTAACTTTATTAACTGCACGAACAGAATCTCGTCTCGGATTCTGGAGGCAAACATATACGTGCGGGTTTTGCTTTCTCTTTTTCGATATTAATCATTTAAAAACAAGGTCTTGCTCACCATCTGCCATCTCGGACAACACGCATCTCTCGTAAATGGATAATTTTACAAATTAATCTAAAAGTCCTGTCATTTTCATAATTATGTTCTCTCTCTTTTTCTCTATTTCTCTCTCCCTTTCTATTTTGTTTTTTTTTTCTTTTTGAGATATATGTGGTGTACTTCTCCTAAGATTATTTATCTAAACTGTATAACCATTTCATTATTGATTCACGAAATTCTTTAAGTTCGATTAATTTCTAGTCTTGCAAAATGAAAACCCCAAAACTTTTAAAAGAACGATCGAGAATTTTGACTTTAAAGTTGTCCTTTTCTTCGTAGAATTCACGATATCTCCATAAATCTTTGATTCGGCTTTGTTTGAAAGAAACAATATTGATTCTCCGATAATGATAATATTGTCCGTTTCCTTATAAGAAAACACTCGGGATTTATTGAAATTTATAAAATTTTTCTCTTAATATAATTTTTTTTTCAGGAGAATAGATTTCTCAAGTCCACTAAGTCTGTTATCGCTCTTTCTGGTGATGATTAGTGTCTTCCTTCCTAACCTTTTGTTTGAAGTCGTGTAGAACATCAATATCTTCATTATGTAATTATTTTCCCTTCGATTTGCTTGTGCTATCCACTTTAGTTGTTGCCATTGTTGAATGTCCTCAAGTTAAATTATCGAGTAGTGTTTTAACAGAGGACGGAAAGTGCGACACTGAAGGCGCATTTGGACAGCGGAAGATTTCCTAAAACCAAACAGCGCATTTTCTTCCGTTTTATAGGCAGGGGCCAGAAAAACTATTACAAGTCTTTCTTCGCAAACAGGAATGGTTCATTGTTTATCTGAGGCAATTGCAGGGTGCATGGTACGCGCTAACTAAGGAACAAGCAGAATTATAATAAGTAGACGTTTTTAATTTAAAGACAATACTAGATTGGCGGTTAGGTCTCATCCTTTTACAGCTGAGTTGGTTAGATGTAACCCTAAGTTCTAGGCTAACAGTTCCTTCTGTCGCACATCTCGCTTGCGGAATTCCATTCCGGTTCCATGCTTTCCAGCCAACTTTAATCATCAAAAATTTAAATGCAATGTGAATCGCTATCTCTACTGTCCTGTTGATTACTCTTTTTATTCTCACTCATTAGTAACGTTTCCATTTTCTAATTCCTCCACACCCAGTAACCCCTTATGTCTTAGTGGCTTTACTGCCTTGCTTGGGGTGAACTCATTAAAAAAAAGTGATAGTGGCATAATTGCTGTTATCAACACGGAAATGGCATCAGCTATGCGATTTCGAATTCCGATTCAGGACGCTTATAATAATCTTCAATTATACTTGATCTGTTTCCTGTCGTCAGATCTCTTGATAAAATGTTTTGTCACAAGCATGCCACAGAGAAAAAGTGTTAATGAGATGAAACCACTCTCAAAAAACTACTTTGTCTCTGCAGCAAAAGTTGTTACATCACTCAATGATAGACGTGATGGTTAGTAGGCTTTTTACACAGAGATCAATTCATTTAACAAACGTAGAGAATTCGATCCTCATTGAGCAACCTATCACTTCTGCCAGACGAGGCCTAGTTTGTGAGAGGGATCGATGTTTGAGTTCAGGTAAATACATGAAGTTCGAATGACGCAGCATATTCTTCTTATTTCTCATTTCCTCCTATTTAGTCTTATAGAGAATTAAACTAAGTTTAGTAAATAGCAAGAGAACGGTTTTACTCTAGACTTATCATTTGTACTTTTTACTTATGTATCTAACCTTGAAAATATACTGCTTCTCCAGCTGTGCTTAAAACAGAATAATTAACTAGCTCTATTTTATAGGCAATTGTAGGCCTCGATTAACGTCACTCTGTTTTATGGTTTAATATCTTTTCCTTTTTAAGTTACAAGCACACATTTATACAAATCCGATAAGTACGAGGTAAGATCAAAATATTGTGACTAGTGATTTGGTAACGTGTTAATTGAACGAAAGTACGCAGAGTGAAGCCACTTTGCATATATTGACCTTGAAGTCTGTCACGCATACACAGCTACAAGATACAAGTTCACGCATGCTTCCTTTGTTTATAGTAGTTCTTAGAAGGAAAGTGTGTAGAGTGTGGCCCTATCACCACACCACAGAGACCATGGCTTGTGTAGCAATTTTTGGCCACTATTTACATTATTCGGACTATTGTCCTCATCTTTGTCGCCATATTTATTACAACGTTTCGGCCGTTGTACGCTCCGGCCTTCTTCAGGTGGTTGGAATGTCGAATTGTTTCTTTTGTATTTTTCCATTGGTTTATCTTTAGTGTGTTATTTGACTGTGCTTCTCCATTGATTTCTGGTTTATTAGTATTGTTTTGACCATTTAGTTTAGGTTATCGTTGAATTTTTTGTGTGTATGTATGTTTGTTCC